ATATTTTTCCAACTATTTTCTTAATAAAAACTTTTCTAAGAAAATTAGCACTATAACTAAACAACCCTTATTTTAAATTGGGAGATGGATCTTTCTGTGACTTTTGTCCAAAACTGGCAGATCTTAATCTAGTTAATTTTATCTGTTCTTAACTGTTGAGATGTTTAAAAATATTAATTTATAAATTAATTTTAAATTATTAAATAATAAATTTTAACTATTTTATTTGTTATTAGCTACCAATTACCGCTATCAATTATTTTTAATAATTAAATCAAATATAATTATATTATTTTTGTGTTGCTTGCCTTCTAATTCCTTCTATCTTCGTAGAATTGCAATAAATTCTCCCTTTCCCTACCCCTTCGTCCAGAACAATATGATTTGGTTTTATCATTTTCCCATTTCTACACTTAAATCTTAGTTGGATTTTCTTTGAATAAAAGGTCCAAGGCGTTATAAATAATTGGTTAAAATATTAATTTGATTCCTAAACTTTTAAATGTATACCAAATTTGTTCTTAAACTTGAAAAAATACCGAAAATGTCCTTAAACTTTAATTTTGAAACCAATTTCGTCCTTTGTCGATGAAATTGACAAGTGACGATTAAATTATCAAAAAATCACACATTTTTTTGAAAAAAAAAATAGTGATGTGGAAATGATTTGATAAAGGAAACTTACTTAAAGAGATGCAGTGGTATTCCCTTCTTTTTATGTGGCATTTTTACTCTGATATGGACAATCAAAGGAGTCACAAATTTTATAAATTATGTTTTTTAATTAATTAATTAAAAAATATATGAGTAAGGTTTTTCAAAAAGACAATGAATTAAAAAGTACTAAACTAATTTATGTAATTAACATATTAACCAATCAATCAAATAATTAACAATAGTTTTAAATTATCAATTACCTTTATTAAGCAAAATAAAACAATTTTAGAAGATTTGAGAATTATCTCCTTTGTTCATCTTCTTTCATGTTCATCTTATTCTCCAGTTTATATAAATTTCTCAATTTTATTAAAGTTTCTCTTGTCCTCTTAGATTTTTTCAGAAACCATACATAATTTTGGAAAGAAATTTTCTTTCCACCTCTAATTTTCTTAACAACCAAATAACACACGATATTATCAAAATTATAAAAATTCTAACAAAAATTTATAAAAATTCATTATCTTCTTCCCCTTTCCTTCTTCCTGTTTCTTCTTCCTTCTCTCTCCTTTGTCATCCTTCTCCAAGTCCGAGAACTGAGATCTGGGTTCTTAAGAAGATCCCACGGGTTCTCTTGGAGAGCCTAGATTTAGATTTTCCTTCAACAAATCAAGGAGGGGAGGAAGAAGAGTGGAGGAGAGAGAAAGAAGAAGAAAAAGATAGAAGGAGGGAAGAGAAGAAGGTTGAAAATCAGAGAACCAATGCTATATGAAGACAAGGGTTGCCTAGATCTACACGGTGAAGAACTTGCAATAGGAGATGTGGGAAGAGATAAGCAAAAAAAATGGTGATAGAGGAAGAGATAGAATGAGGCAAGAGAAGGAAAATGAATGGATTAAGGTTAAACATGGTTATTTTTTATATTTTATTATGTTTTAATTAATTAATTATATGAGAGGATTTTTTTAGTGTCTTTAAGTTTTTTTGGGTCATATAATATCTAAATGCCACATAAGTAGTGAAAATTGTCCAGGTAAGCAAAGCAATATATTTATAAATTTTCATGTCATTTGACGTTAAAAATAAAAAAAATTCTCTAGACTTAACATGACAGATCAACATTCCATTAATGGAAGCACCAAAAACGTATGAAAAAAATAAGTTAAAGGATAATTTTTGTATTTTTTAAAGTTTGGGGACAAATTTGATACAAATCTGAAAGTTGAGGAACTAAATTAGTATTTTAACCTAAATAATTCAGGCCCAAGTCTTATAAGTTGTTTGAATTGGACATTCTTTCAACCAAAGGACCAAAGTCCAACATAGAGTTTCAAACCTTAAGGCCCAACTTAATTTGGACTCCAAAAAGAAAAAAAAAAAAAATAAAACTTATCACCTTGAATCCATTCAATATGTTCACATGATTTTTACTTATTTTTTAAGAGAAAAAATGAAGTTGAATAAAATCCAAATGTTCTAGTAGACAACCGTATTTAATATAGAAGTTTAGGAAACCATATTTAATATGGAAGTTATAGGCGACTTATGACTTTGCCTAGCATTATTTGAGTATAATACTTTTGATTTTTTTCAAAAATTTAGGTTTCATTTAATATGATTGTGATTTTTGGTTTTTAGTTTTGGTTTTCATGATTTGAACAATTAAAATTAAAAATTAAAAGCTAATATTAAAAGTTAAAATTAACAACTTTTTGGTATAAACTTTTAAAATTAATAGCTAAAACTCCAAACTTAATTAATTTATAGAATTTTTTTAATTTTTAAAAACTAAAACCAAAAAAACTTAAAATCACTACCATACCTAACGGAACCTTATTTTTCAAATTTCATTCTTGAAATTTAAGTGGTTATCAACAATGTTTCTACCTGAAGTTTACTTTTTCTATGCACATTACATTTCTACCTGAGTTCCAATCAAGTTGATTTACATGTTTCACTAGAATTATTGTCCACTATTTTACTTTTTTTATCTAAATTATTTCCAGCACTTTATATTTTTGCAAGGTACTTTGATATCAAGTAAAATACTCCTTACACGTGGCATGATGCAATTGGTTCACATGGAATTGGGTCATAGCTAAAGGGGACTCAATTTCATCTTAGGTACAACTAGGACAGCTCTTGGAAAGAAAATCGATCGAGTTGAGTCAAATCTTAACTCTCGTTACCTTAGAAGGAAGCACCTAAAACCAAGATAATTAAGTTGTCTAGAATGGAACCTAGGTGATGTTTGCAGACCTAAGCTATGAACCTAAGACATAGGACTTGGAGATCAAGACAAAGGGTATAAAGGGCAGGGAGGCCTATGCAAGGTCAGGCTTGACCTACACTTGGAGGCAGCTGCTATCCATGTCAACACCTACACAAACCATTACCTATTCTTCAGGTGGTCCTTTTTGTTTTCTTGTCACGTGGCACTTTTCCACTGATAGTTATACCTCCCACTATACCTTGCTATAGGTTGGATTCTAATAGTTGTATGAACTAAACAAGTTTCCATTCTCAACAAATTAGGCTACCTTACCACTATAAAAAGGGATTGTTGCACAAATCTTAAGGTAATTCAAACTCCTTCTCCCTCTCTTCAACCTTTATCTCTTCCATTGTTATCCTCCTTACACTTTTACCAAAATATTTCTCATTTAAGCATCAAAGTGCATACACAAAAGACCACCTCCAAGTCTCTAATGCACACACCAACGAGCTTTCCTTTTGCTTGCTCATAGGTCATATTTCCAAAAAAGAATCACAACTTTCTCATTCATTCAACAAGTGTTGATGGTCGAGAAATTCAAACTTACCCTTAGTAGCAATTTTTGATTATCAATAATTCCTTTAGCATTTGTAGGATTATTAATATTATTATTATTATTATTATTATTATTATTATTATTTGATACATGTCTACTTTATTAACTAAGTTCTTGATATATTTTCAAGGAAATTTTGAACTCATTGTGGAAGAACCAATCTCTCATTTCTGTCTATGAATTGAGGCACATATTTCTATCAAAAGGATGTTCTTTTGTAGTTGTTAGGATAAGGGAATGGAAGGATGGGACTTGGAATGTGGGCATGGAGATGGAGAACGAACCTTTTTGCATGGGAAACTAACTTTTCGTAAGAAATTATTAATATGCTAACAAGTAAAAAACCAAGATTAGGGGTGTCATATTGATGGATATAGAGACATGATCCAATTGGCTACTACACAGTCTGCTTAACATACAAAGTAACATCAATAACCCAACACACATGGAACTCAAAGAGATATAAGCTGCTATGGAACAAGAATGTACCAATGAAGGTTGTTGCATTTGCATAAAAGGTGACCTAAAAGAGAATCTCTAATGTGGATAATTTGGCAAAAAGAGGTTTGAAAAAAGAAGGCAAGGACATGATGTGTGTTCTTTGTGGAAACCAAATTGAAACAATAGAACATCTTCTGTTTCCATATAAAAAAGCATGGGAAGTATGGACAGCTTGCTATGAGAGGTGGGGAGTTAAGGTTGCCACATATGAATTGGATTGGAAAATTTTGAAGCAGCTTGCAAGTTTGTTTCTAAAGAAAAGTATCCAAAATATCTAGGTGATGATATGGTTTACAATAATATGTTCTATTTTGGCTATGGTGGAACCAAATAATTTTCAAGAAGGAAATAGTAATGAAGAACCAAGTGATTGAATTGATACAGTTTCGATCATATAATTAGATTAAGGCGAAGTTGTTGCTTGAACTCTCTAAGGATTGCGAGTATAAATCACCCAATAAGGTATGCAGTTGATAAGATCACAAAAGTAGGTGGAGTGACCAACGTATCAGTGGAAAATATTGTTCTTGAACTGAATTCGAATATGGCCTAACAATTGTTACTTTGTAAACCGGTTGGAAGTACCATTTTTTCTCCAGATTAATAAATAAATTCATCTTTGTTGACCCAAAAAGGAAAAAGAATGATATTCTTCCAACAACCTTTTTACAAAGAAAAATTGAGTGAAAAAAAAGGGTTATCGACAAATCCTTTTCTTACTTTGCTTGCAAAAGTAGTACGCCTACATTCACAATTCTATCACAAGGTGTTGCTAATAGGATTTTAAGGGTAACAGATTACAAATTCCTCAACGTTAGAGGAGAATGTTGTGCTTAGAGTCCATGTGCCTCATCACAAAAGCAAAGGCTGTCATTGATTTTTTCCGTGCAGGTTAAAATCCATTAGGTTTTT